CTTTCCAATGGTTGTATGATATATTTTTTTTTTAATAGTTAGGTTTAAATAATCGGGAGAAATAATATATTTTAAATTGTGCAAATAATAAGTACGAAACAAGTGTTACAATATGCTTTAATAAATGTATAATAGCATAATATATACTCATAGGTCGACACCTTTTCTTATAAGAACCAAACAATTTTACCAAGGCTAAGGCCAATTTCAGGCTCAACATGTTGTAATGCCTATATTTTCTTCTTATTTTACACACTTTTTAAAGATAGAAAATTGTTATTTCACAGCAATATATTACTGTACTTTATTACAAAGGATATAATTGTCACACCTACTGCATGTAAGTACAAATAAGGTTAAAATAATTTGTTATTGGTTTTTTCTAAATTAAAAAAAATAATAATAACCGTATTTTTGAAATTTTACCTCAATTTGCTCTTATTTTTAAAGCAATTCCAGAATCAACGTTCTTAAAACTGGGGTTATAAAAATAATGTTTTCTTATAAACAAAAGTGTATCAGTTACACACAAATACATTTGTGTCAATGGATTACTGTAGCACTGCATATTATACAATGATCGTATAATATACTGCAAAAAAAATTAGTTGGTCGTTGCGAAATTTCAATGACAAGTGTAGTAAAAATAAAAATAACAAATTTTATCACAAACCCTATGCAAGTTGGGCATTTATACAGCAGGATTGAGGACCGCTTTATATCTATTTTGTCAATTAGGGCTAAAGTGTACCGCAATCTAACTTTCCCGCATACCGAAGTTCTTTTGTCCTATCTTTCTCTCAAATTTAAGTGGGTGATAAGCACCTCGAAGCCGTGGTCTATGTCTAATGCACCCGAGTTTCCCAGAATCAAAATTTGGTGGTATGAAACACGAATGTTCAGGGAATCTTTGAAGCATCGTTTTTTTTTTGTTTTTTTTTGTGAAACAAAATAAATATTTACAAACATCAAATAGGCCTATTTGTATTTTAATAATGTAACTTCTTTGCAATGATCCATGTTATTATTGCTAGACGGTTTGCTAACATTTTCAGTATCAGCTCAGATAGAGAGGAGAGGCCTATAAATTCGCACGAAAATCCTGGGTACCAAGGGCGGGATTAGTGGGAAAGAATGCAGGCAATTGTAAAATACTACAAATTACGTCATTTTTTATGTCGCCTTATCGCAAGAAAATTTCAACTCAACGTAACAGTCGCAAGCGCCCGTTTAAGACTCTGGATTGAGTTCACCGTGGTAAGTTCAACTTTTGTAAGCGGCTGAAAATTGCTTATTTAGCTGCGGCCCAACACGATCAACGCAAACGTCTACCAACCCCTGTCGGGGAAGAGCTGGCGCACTACTGCAACCCAACGATCGCAATTTATACAACATCTCGCACACACGTTAGCAGTGATGCTCGCACTAAACAGTGTTTTATCCTTATAATTTTGAGAAGACATGCTTCAAATTGTACTTTCGGCGCTCGAGATTTGATTTTTCTCCGACGAACGATCTTGCTGAAAAAATTCGACGACAGCGGGGTCCAAGCGGAGAGTCAGTGGTCCCCGACGGGGGGTCCTTTGCCCCTGGAACCCCGCTAGCGCCGCCCCTGGTAAAAATATGCATATGGATGAAAAGCTTTGCTCGAAACGTCGTAGGATTTCATATACTGGCAATGTCGTACTTATCGTAATATTGAATATTACGTACTTTGGTAATGGTAGAACTTTGTGAAGCTCCTTACACATTAAAATCGTCTCAAGACACTGACAGTGTCAGACCACGAATCATTTTGAAAAACAGAAACGAAAAACAAATACAATAAAAATAAAATAAACAAAAAAGCCTTTCGAGTAATGAAGTGCGACGGCGGTCAAAAATGGCATTAAACAAACCGCATTGAACACGTAAGAAAAGAAATTCGCACTCCCGATTTTGAGATCGCGTCGCCACCACAACCATGGACACGCAACAGGTACACCGGCGTCTGCTGGGCTCCATTAGCTTCCAACTAGGATAAGCCTCTATCTGTTTATTTATCTATTGTATTTATTTATTTAATTATTTATTCATCTATCTATTTAGTGCACCATCTTACCTAGTAGAAAGTAAATTGAAGCAATAGGACGCCGCCACTCCATACCCCCATTGCCGATCGATTGATTGATTCTTTATCCAAATTGTCTTCATAGGTACTTAGAGCTTAGAGCATGTTCAGTCGCTACGTGTTGCATTTGCTAGGTTGCCAAGTTTTATCACTGTTCAAGAAAGTGCTCCCCGGCGAAATACGCGGCCTCGGCAGTGTTGCTTTTATCCGGTGCTTCAATCGCAATAAAAATCGGTGCACCAAGTAATATATAAATTGTAAGCACAACAATAGGCCGAAGTTTAGAAGTATTTGTGTAACGGGTTGCGCACTGCTTTCGTGTAGTATTTCCTTTATTCCAATGTTGGATGTACAGTAGGGGGATTTGTCTTGGTAGCCATCTTGTGGTGCAGTTTCACATACCGAACGATATAGAATTAGATTCTTGGAGTATACAGACGATTAAGCAATAATAATATCAACAGTAATCTTAAAAATAAATTGATGTGCTCTGCGGTCCACTGCTTTCGAAATCGAATGTAATGAAAACTTCCTTTTTGCAAAATATTAACCTGTCTCTTATACACATCTAGATGTGTATAAGAGACAGTCGTTTTATCGTAACAAAATGCGATTTTTTACGGTATTACTAAGTTGTAATATTACATATTTTTATATATAAGAATAAATGTAACTTCACTTCATTTTCTTGTACATAACTAAATTAAATTACTATTATATCATCTATTTTTTTGTAATAATTACATTTTTTATCTCGATTTTGTAAATCTTAATTTAAAGTATTGTTAAATGTTTATTCTAATTCTAATGATCGTTGTTTAATGAATCTAATTTTATCGTAATTTTGAATTGTTATTGTACTGATTGTCTTTTTTTTTTAATTTTTTTAAAATTCTTATCTTTGTAAGTAATTACTATAATTAATACCTTTGGCTTTGTATGATTGTTTATTGTTGTTTTTTGTTTTGTGAATATTGTTTGATGCAGCTTATTTGTTAGTTTGACGCAATTCCGTGCAATGCTACAATGTCAACATTTATCGTTTTAATAATAAACCAGTTTGAATGAATAAATAAATGATTGGAAAATATAGTTGGCTCACAGCTGCGATTTTTCAATGACTTACTACCTAACGATAGATTTTCTCGGCAAATTGTAACGATTTAAGGTTTCCGTTTAACCTTAATACAGGAAAGACAACTTTACATTCAGTACATTGACTATCTTAAAAAGTGGACACTTTCCGATTTGGGTGGTGCAACATGCTCCTAACATTAAATTTCTTATTACCATGGAACCACCATTTTCTGAAGTTGCAAAATATTATGTTAGACTTAAATTTTAAATGAAAATATTAATACACAAATTTTAGGCCTGTTACAGTAACGTAAAAAAAACTATTAACGATGTCCCGTATGAATACGGACTTTTTTTCAATTCTTTTTGAAACAATCAAAAATTTGTGTTGAAAGCTTACTAAACCAACATATCGATTTTATTTTTTACTTTTTATTTATATTTAGGTTATTTTTGGGCTTCTTTACTTATTTTTTCAAACATTATATTTTGGAAGAGGAGTCCAATAATGTATAATTTATTCTATACAGTAACCATACATTTTTATAGTCTACCGGTTACCATTTACTAGCATAATAAATGCACGGACAAAAGCCAAAAATATCAGATTTTAAGACTAGACATATGGAAATTTCAAGGAATCTCCAATACCATTGTTTTAGAACGTGATTAAGTCTGCTGGTTCTCAACTCGGCCCTCGATCGAGGTTCAAAAACTGACCGCATGTTTTAAAATTTTGACTGCGATATAGGCCTATCGGAAATTATAAAAACATTTGTTCAATCGTGTAGACTCGGACAAAGTATTATAATTATTTTCTGAAGTTCCACCCACTAACGCACCTAAGGGGGCACTCCTTGTGGGAGATTCGTCATGTGTTTACAAGCTAATAAAAAAACACATGAAAATGAAATTCATTTCCGAAGACAGATAATGAATAATTAATGCCATTAATGGAAATTAGAAAACAAAAGGTTACATACTATATCAAATACTTAAAAATACATACGATACAAAAATACAAGCGTATCATCAAGATAACAGTAGCAGGCACGGATCGGATCCAGTAGGCGAACAGGAGGGGGCACGTGTCCCCCCGTTTTGCTAAGTTTTAAAATGTCAATGCATACATTGAAATTAGCCCTACTCACATTACCTATTCTGAAAAATGTTGTGTGCGCCCCCCCCCCCTTCTCCTCCTCACCCGGTTTGAAAAAGTCTGGATCAGCCCCTTAGAGGCCTACGGTATTCGGCTATAATAACATTACACATTAGGCCCTCTCCTGTAAAGACCTGGATAGGTTTTGCACTAGGTAGAAAAGAGTTTCTGTGAAGTTTCGTCATACCAGAAAAGAAATGCATGCCTGATTTCTCTTGGGGGGCGTCAGTTATGGGGAGTTTCTGAAGTTACGGAATGTTAACAATGCCGTAGATTTGTATGGATTCAAATTTGAAAAAAACAAGAAAATATTAATAAAATATTTTAAAAAGAGAAAATTAAATACACAAAGAATGTAGGCCTATGCCTATAATTCCATTAACAAGAATTCTGTTTCCTGGATTTTTTAATTCTATGCTTCATTTACACACTCATTCAGGGTTTTACTAATTCTTCTGTTGTGTTTCTGTCTAGTAAAAAATAAAAATATTCCCCATCAAGTTCCTGTTTCTGTTACACGTCTATGACAAAAATAGGTATGAGGTCATGGCTAGCATTTGCGGGAATTCCCCTTTAAATTCCCAGGTTCTTGCTCTTCGATTGGCTAACTACGGAAGCAATTATTGAGACAGCCAATAGGGAGCGTAGGTTCTACCTCACTAGATAGGTCGTTACCACGATCAGCGTGACGAATAAGTAATGGCGATTGGTAGGCGTATTGTGTAAAAACGTATTTTTAAATTCTCTTTTTTTACACTATTTTCGGCAGGTTCATATATTTTACTGGGTTAAATTCGTACATTACAAATCTATTGAAGTTCTGTGTGTGAAATCAGCATATAATATGCAGTCCTTATCGGAAAAACCTACACTAAAGACTGTTGTAAAGGCGGAAGTTGCTGGACAAGAGACACTTAGTAACACTGGCAAAAGTAAGTACGGTAGTCCTCCCATGTTTGATGGAGCTATGATATTATTATAATCACTGGTGGTATTAACTAACATCCTCATGTAAAACTGAATTGTGAGTACATAATTGATGCTTATACATAGATATAAAAATAAGCCACGTACCAAAACAATAGGCTTTATTAATTTCGTTTTGCTAGTGAATCAGGGAGATCCGCTCACTTCTGTTCATTCATGGTCTAGCTAGCTAACTATAACAACTCCCTGCTAAGTCTAAGCCTAGCTGCTACAGTGTAGTAGGAGTGAAAGAGTGAAGTCCTACCAGGTAGTAGTAGGAGTGAAAGAGTAACGTGAACAAAACTGTAAGTTTTCTAGGTTACTATTCATTGTGTTTTTGAGTTCCTGATAGCTAATGTTTAGTTGCTGATATAAACAGTAGAACTTGAAGCTTTTATTTTCACATTCCAAGAGCCTGAGAGGATCGTATGTGGTGTGTGGAAGTAAAATTACACACCTCAATCCTACGCAGAGACCGTTGAGCCGTTTGTAGGTACTGTATATATGAAGCCGACCCAGTTTCATGATACCAGTTTCTATGCATTGCTCACAGTTGGGCAAAAAAAAAGATCCACAGTCAACAAGCTGTCCAACGGCATATTATCACCATACTTTCCTAGTGACCCTGCAGCAGCAAATTAGGGCCCGTTTATATTACACTCTGAACACGGATTGACGAACACGGCTTCTCTGATGTGTGTAGTATAAACAGTCTGGATTACGTGTGATTACAATACCATCTGGACAAAAGGCTACTTGCCGAACTCGCCAAAATTGCCGTGTTGGAAGTACCAACTTGTAGCCTCCAGGCATAGGTTTGACCTCTCTTGAAACAGTGGGTGGTAATTTAATAGCTTTCTTGCTGTTGACAGGCGCCAACAAGATGGGATGAGCTTTTATAATAGGCCTACAACCAGAATGATATAAGAAAATAATTATTGTTAATAAGGCCGTTATTAAGCAATAATTTTATATCTTAATTTACTGCTGAGAAGGCATAATATATACCTTTCACGAAAAGAGTCTTTTCCGAGGCTTTCTTATCCGCCGAAATCATCGTGATACGCGCCGGAGTGCTGCCAGTCTACCTACAGTATACCCTATTCTAGGCCTACCTTCACTTCTTCATTTGAATCTCACCAACAGGGCCGCTTCAATGCTTTTGTTTTATAAACACTAATCTTTTAATTAATCCTTAGAACAAACAATAATGCATCTTTTTAGCGCCAACAATCTTCCTATCTGCCCCATTAGCCGCCTATTTATCGTCAGACGCGGGGTGCTAACTACAGTTTATTTACCTCCCATGGAATTTTTTTCTATCCAATACAATGTTTTGCCCTGTACCAACTCATTTCTTCTTGTTACTTGGCTTGGTTCGGATGAAATTATTAAACTTTGTAAAGAAATGTCATGCTGACTTCGACCTTCTGTCCCACAAGGCTTTTCGCGAGCTACTTCACTTCCTGTCTAATCCGTGTTCAGATTACATGTATAAACGTAAACCTAACACGGATCGGCCGCGGGCAATGAAATACGTTACGTAACGGCAGATCCGTGTTTCTAGCAAGTGTGTAATATAAACACGACCTTAGTTAGAGATTTCATTATAAATTTCTACATTCACAATGTTCACACACACCCCCCCACCCCCAATCCAAAAGCAGTCTACACCTCTCTCTTAATCCTATTTTTGATTAATTTTATATGGACATTTTTATTTCATCTATGGTATACTGTATTCCTTTTTTATCTACATTTTAGTTACATACTATTTGTTTATTACATTTTATAACATTTACACATTACATACTCATATAAATTATCTTTATTTATTCATATTTTATTTTCACAGAGCTTTTGTTTCCCCTAGTGTGTTTTATGGTTTAATCTAATCAATTTTTCATTTGAAGTGCCTTGACCATTTCTTTGAAATGAGAGTGAGTGACTATAAAAAATGTTTTGTTTGTATTACTCACTGTACAAATATTTGTACATACAGTATTGTCTTTAATAGGACACAATATCATACAACAGGTATGTATTGAGAACATCAACAGTAATATTGGTAATATCAGACACGTAAAAAGCGGGCCTGGGTTTGCATGTTCAGCTACAGTAAACCCCTTTTCAAGCTAATCTTAAACCGAACCATGACTATAACTTCCTCCCCCCACCCATTTCAAATACAATGAAAATAATAATAGAATTTACAATAATATTAATAAGAATACTATGCTTCATCTCAAGTGAGCTTCTCCGACCCCCTGCCCCATTCGATTTAATGAGCAGTGGCATCACAAAGGGGTCTAAAATTCCTCTCCCCCCCCCCAACTTCCCCGGCGAAGTACTATTTCCACTTTGGTGTATATCGACATTTTAAATAAGTATTTTAATTTTTATTTTACATTATAAATAATACTCCTTAAAAGGGCCCAACCTAGCAAATGTACTGTAAGCCTTTTTTTCAACGTAGATATCTTTTCCAGATGTAGGAAGTCGACCATTTATCACATTGTTCAGCTATAATAATCTTTCACCCCCTCATTTCTGTTCTTAAATTAGTTCTCACACCTGTCATAATTTTGGAATTTTACTTTCTTTTTCTAAAATAATAATTATTATAGTACATTTTGCCACAGCACACATACAAAAACTATTGTTACATCCAGTCTTTAAAAAAATCCCAATTCTGATTCGATGTTTTTGTCTTAATTCAGTTCTTACACACCATTAACATCCAGCTAGAATTTAAAGGAAATTTTTTTTTATGACTGATGTAACAAAAGCCACTGTTTATAAAAAAAAGTTTCAAATAAAATAATCAAAGTAAGCAATGTTGTATTTTCTGATTGCTTAATTAAGATTGGATGTTGATGATCTACTGTATTATCTGATCCTCATACAGAATAAAGTAACATTTAATCAGAATTAGGAATTTGTCTAAAGGTCGGTGTAACAATAGCAACTGCATATAAAATGAATGTGTAATTAGGAGAGTAATTCTTTGTTCTAAGTTTCTAATTTACTTAACCTATTTACCCTTAAAATATACAAAGTAAGCAACGTTTAATTGTATTTTTCATGTTTATTAGTTCAGTGCATGTGTAACACTTTAGGAAAAGGTCACGAACCAGGATGTATAATTCTGTTTCTCATGTGGTGATGAACATTTTCTGGGAACTTCCCTAATACTTAGCAAGAGACTTTTGATCGCCGTAGTTTATACATTTTATTGTATTTCAGTTATCCCCTGAGAGGCACGTGAATGGAATTTATGTACATTATTTTGGCCCACATATTTATATTTATATAGTAGGCCTATTTATACTCATGTGTTTGGTACAAGAATGCAGTACAATAGTTTTGGATATTTTCTATAGATTTCATTTAGTTTCCTGTGCATTACTGTACATGTAACCACAGATAAGTTTGCTAAAGACTCATCGGTATGCTAATTATAATAGCAGGAATATTATTAATATTATTTTAGAAATAGTAAAAGTAGTGTGTTTAATATTATTATACTGTAGTAATAGTACCGTAATTGTAGTAGTAAATTATTAATAGTAGTAAAAGTAAATAATAATATTGTAGATAGTCACAAGAGAGGCACGTGAATGGAATTTATGTACATTATTTTGGCCCACATATTTATATTTATATAGTAGGCCTATTTATACTCATGTGTTTGGTACAAGAATGCAGTACAATAGTTTTATAGATTTCATTTAGTTTCCTGTGCATTACTGTACATGTAACCACAGATAAGTTTGCTAAAGACTCATCGGTATGCTAATTATAATAGCAGGAATATTATTAATATTATTTTAGAAATAGTAAAAGTAGTGTGTTTAATATTATTATACTGTAGTAATAGTACCGTAATTGTAGTAGTAAATTATTAATAGTAGTAAAAGTAAATAATAATATTGTAGATAGTCACAATACTAGTATTTTCTTTACTTATTTAACTTACAGTACCAGATTATTTTGTGTTCTTGTTTTAACTGTTATTTTACTTGGAATAACCCATCTGTAATGAATGAAATTTGATATTAAATGATAATTATTTAAAATAATATAATATTTTTAATATATCAAACACAGTTATATCATTATATTTTTATATTTTATATATTTAGGATTGTTCAAGCAATGCCTAAACAGATTTGACACAGTTTATTTATAACTAAATAACCACATACAGTCTATTGTTATTATTGTTATTATTATATAATTAAATTGTTCTTGGTACTATTATTTTTGTTATTGCTATCATTATTGGTGCCATAAGCTGAACAAAGATGGTGGTTAACACGTTGTTATCTTTTGGAAGAAATAAATGTTTATATGATTTGATTTGATCTTGCAGATGACAAATCACAAATGAAGATGAAAACAGACTTAAAACTTCACACAGCCCCAGACTTTGATCCTGGTTACAATTCTCTTGATAGTGACGGTGGATCACCAATATCATCGAGCAAGAAGCCATATATGAAGATGTCGAAAGAAGATAAGGTCAAAGAATGCGCAAAGAGTCCAAAGTCAGAACAATCTATTGAACAAAATCTTGTTGATAAAATTCGGCGGAGAGCTGCATCGATCGGGGATGATCCATCAACACCAACAAGCTTTCTCCAGCTTCATCTGGAAACGGTCAGCAACCAGAGAAATAGTAGTATTGAAAATAGTGGCATAAAGGGAGAAACAAACAAAACCAGTGCTCAGATTTCTAAGGATTTAAAGTTGGATGAGAACAAGGTAAAAGAGAAAAAGAGCAACACCAATGATGAGGAGGTGAATGCACTGGCTGATAAACTTAACAAAACCGTGACCCTAATTCCCAAAGGACTTCATGAGAAAAGAGGTCATGATAGAATACCTGTTATTCACCGTCAAAATAACTTATACGCTCCACTGAACCAGATTCCTCCTATTCTGCCCGTTACTAGTGATGGTGGGGAACCAAAGAAAAGATGTGTATATATTCCTGGCGGCAATGTTGTTCCTGTTGGGTCAAACTTAAAACCACCATCGTCACAAAGAGGAATGGTTCAGAATGTTTATCAAGATCCAAGATTTGCACCACAAATGACAGCTAACCAATGGAACCAGAGCATTGACATGATGTTTCAGCAGGCGCAAGTACCAGGTCTAACCTCAATTCCAAATACCCAGCCTAGAAGACCATTTGAGATCTCATCCTGGCCCCATCATGATGACTTTCCTGCTACCAGCATTCCAAGTCAGTTCCAGTCTGCTAACCAGTTTTCTCAGGAGGCACCGGTCATCTCAGTGCAGACAGCCTCAAACACAGGAATTGTGCACATAAAGGAGGAGCCACCAAGCCCCCTAGCTGCTCAACACACTCAACCTAGTACTTGCCAAGTGTATGTAGATCACAGGAGCCCTGAAGAAGCTATCAAAGATATAGTAGAATACTTGAAAAAACCAGCTGGATCACCTTCTCCACATTCAGTTCCTTCTCCACAGGCATCAATAAGTAGTCCCTACAGCCAACCAACTGAGCAGTATTTTGTTGATCCTCTGACTCCACCACCGTCGGTCGGGTCATCATATAGCCCAAATTCACCAGTGTCTGTGATGTCAGAAGAGATGCCAGTGTCTCCTCCCCAGGTATCAAGCCCAACACAGGTACCAAGCCCACAACAAATGGAGCCAGTCAGAGATGATTACACGATGGGAATCATGGAATGCGAACAGGAGGTTAATAGATTGAGCATCCAGTGCCTAATGGAACAAGATGCCGAGGACAAAGACACGTAAGTTCTCACAACCTTTGGCATAAACTGGAGGGCGGGTGCATGTGGCAGCCAGTTGAGGCAAATTGTGTTTTCCAAGCCCAGTGACATGCTGAAGTCATAATCATCAGCCAGTTTTGTTTTTGTGCTTAGTGGGTTTGATACCATCCATTACCTCCCCAAAAAATGGTAACCACAGGACTAAAATCAAGGTCAATGTATCATTTAAATTTTGGAAAGCCATTTGAAACATCTACTTTATTTTGGGCTTATACTGTATTTTTGCAACAAAGTAAAATAAATATAATCAACCCTTAATTTTTTTAGATTTTGGGTGTGGGTAAAACAACGTTTCCTTGTCTTTAATCAAAGTAACTCTAGAGGTGTTAAGACATTTGTGGCATTGACTGAGTACTATGTAAATTAATACTGTATTTGAACATAATAAGTATTAGAGCAGAGTATTAGCTGATAGATAATGTTCATGCTTTTTGAGCTGAACTCTACAGTACAATCCCAGATATCATTGGTTTTTTAATTGGAGATACTTCTCAAAACAAAACCACATGGGAGTTTGGTGAGATAAGGGACAATGTGTCTGCTACATGACGGTGTTACCACTTTACTGTGGATAATGCTGCAGGCCCCAGAGGGCCAGCTAAAATTGCAAATTTCAATTTGAAGTAATTGAGGTTTAATTTAATTTAATTATTTATTTATCTTTCAGTTGCCTTCATGTAGTTGTGACACAAGGAAGATACAACCTAGCTATTGCAATTGCTAAAAAACTTTCTCAAGTACCTGGAGCTCTCAATATTCAAAATAATCTTGGACAGGTAGGTTTACCGTATGCTTTTAAAGATGAATGTAGATATACAGGCTGGTATTACATTTTACAGACAGTGGCTTATCTACAGAGGTGCGAGGTGGGCGCACGCCCACCAAAATGGATCCTTTAAACCTACACATTGTGATTTTGTAAGTTATGAATTCATCACTTCAGATGTAGGTGCATTTGACACACCTTTTGATATCAGTTGGTGTTTTATTGGTAATAGTTTATGATCTCTCCTCTAGACACCCGTTTTCCTTGCCACAGTCGTGAACATGCCTTACTTAGTCATCGAGCTGATTAGTTTGGGCGCTGATCCTTCGATTAAAGACCGTTCTGGGTGTACGCCGATGCACTATGCCGCAATGAAGGGGTTCACAACCATTGTCAGAGCAATCCACATTGGACTGCAAAATAGCAACAGACTGCAAGATTTTGATGTTGATTCCAAAGATTATGATGGTAAGTAAAGCCCTGTTCAGGCTATCAAATTTATTTGACAAGAACATGTGACATGCCTAAATATGGTCATGATGACATCACATCATGACCATATATAGGCACATCATGACTATATATGGTCATGATGACATCACATCATGACCATATATAGGCACACTGTGACTAAATATAAACTGTTTTTTTGTCAAAAAAAAGTTTATAATCTGGACAAAGCTTAAAAGTTTACACCTAAATTGATTAAAATTATTATAAAATAAATATAATTAAATATTAAATAACTACTATACAGACCAGATGAAACTATTCAAACATAGTATAGTATTAATAATATTAATAAACATAATGATAGTGAATTGTACAGTACTTAGCTAATTATTAATCAGTATTTTTCCTTCTGAGAAAAAAAGTATGTATATTCTCATTTGCAGGAAAAACACCTCTTCATTATGCCATTGAGCATCACCAAAAATTTGAGACTGTGTTCACAGCTGAGTCACAGTGTGCAACTCAGATTTATGTGGAGAACAAGGATCTTGTTGCTATGCTTCTCTTTATGCATGCATCGACAACAGGTCAGGTGAGTCTGGGGTGGTCTTGGACAGGTAGTCTTAATTAGTCGATCATAGCTTTTATCTCATAGGGTCAAGAAAGTAGCGTTGACGTTGCAGCACTGTTCCTACCAACCCTTTCAACACTATACATGAAAATTGAGTTTTTAGAACTAAAATCGACATGGCTCCACAATAAACTTGTGAATAAACTCTATAAAGAAGAAGATCTCATAGACAGTCTTACGAAAGTCTGTAAATGTAAGACCATTGGTTTATCTTAACTATTAGACCGTGTTAAGTATAGTTAATAATCACTCTCCCCATAGCAATTATGGAGTTCAGTTGCTTTTAGTTGTGAGAAAAATAAAAACTTGGCTCTGACACGATTTGAACCTAGGACCCTGGATATTGGAAGGCCAACATATTAATGTTTACTGCCATGTGGTTGGCGCATTGGTTGTGGCTTGGACTCCCAACCTTGAGGTCAGGGGTTCGGAACTCTCGCTGTGCAAGTCACTTGTGTCCTTGGGCAAGGCACTTAATCTACGTTTGTCTTTCTCTACTCAGGAATATAAATGGTCGCCAGAATTCACATTCTGGTGACCATGTTAACCACCAAGCTATTCAACTCTACTCCACAATATAAGGACAACATGTCTATAAATATTATTACCGACGTATTATATATAACTATGTATCTATGTCTTTTCTTTAGGATGGAAAGAGTGGCAAAACCCCACTTCACTATGCAGTGGAACATCAGAAGATTGACCTTATTGACATCATCTTAGAAAGTGACCAGTCGTGCGTGAACAAGCAGACATTCGCCGGGTGTACACCTCTTCATTTGGCTGTTGGTCTGAAGGCGGAGGAGCCTGTCATTGAAGACATCGTCCGTCGGTTGATGAGGAATGGTGCGGACGTGAGTAAGGAAAACTTTGAGAAGGAAAAGGCCATCGGAATCAATCCGAAGTCACATTTGTCTGTAAGTTTGTGCTGTTATTGTTTAAAGCTGTGTCCACACTATCACAATTTGTGTGATTTGCCCTGATATGGGCATGATGATGTCATATTACACCCAAATATTGGCATATCACATTTATTTGTCACATGAAATTTGATAGTGTAGACCGAGCCTTAAGATTTCGTATGGATTCAGTTGTCACTTTTTGTCATGCTGTGGGCTTGTTTGAACAGAGCTGATCTACCTATTGAAAAAAATTATCTTTCAATGTGTTATATATAAGGACAAACAACATTTCTATAGAAACCGAAAGGTCCACTGAATAATCTGCAGATAAGAAAGTATAATACATAATTCAAGTATTGAAATACACGCCATCGAGTTGGGATTCAATATTTCAACATTAATTATGTCATCATCAGGAATGTAGAATATTTCTATAGGTGATTGGTTTAGATGGAAAATTTAATATCATATTGGTTTGTCTTCTAGTATTTACTATTTATTTATTACAAATTTGACACGATACAATACACAGTGGACCAAGAACATATCCAGTGAATGACATGGGATAAAACCCAACAGATGGTGGTTATTTCTAAGACCAGGTCAAAATATAATATTACTGAAATTGCAGTATTTAAAAAAAAATAACAATACCTGCTTGGGCAGTTTGTTAAGCTTATGTTTCTTATCTTACTTGCAGGTGAGAAACCTTCTGTCTGGGCGGAGTTAAAGCATAAAACGCCAACAGCCGAACTCAAATAATGCTGTTCAGATGTTAATGCTGTTCAGATGTTGTTTTTTTTTTTTAATTTTACAACTTGTGTAATATATAATTGATGGTTGTTGCAAAATATTGCAACATCACTTTTCCATTTAAATCTACAATTATTGTAGAAAATGTTGTGTAACTATTGGACATCTTTATTAATTTTTGAACTGCACTACTTTTTAGCAAATTATAATAAATAATGATTTGGCATTAATAAGAGGCTTTTTTTTTTTTTTAAATCAGAGCGTATGTTAAGGATAATTTGACTTGACAATGTTATTGATACTAATTTATTAGCAAAGAATAGTTTGATATTTTGCAAGATGAGAAAAATGATTCATTATGAGCCTACCTACAGTATATAAAAATTACATTACTATCCAATACTGAAATGTTTATATTCCTTATTTGCTTAACAACATATGGGCAAATCACACAAATATATAATATTAATATTTTAATGATATTCTTAATATTATATTAATATTAATTTACAGTTAGGTAAAAATCCCATCAAAGCATCTCAGATTTGATGTGAACTTTATTGTCATAATCAGAACAATGCAACATGAAATTTGGTTCCTTAATATGCTGAGACTGGATTGGTATAATTATTCTTAATGCCCTAAAAGGAGCAAAGTGAGGGGGGGGGGGGTCATGGCACAAGTAGCATGTGGACTGTTGGTTCTTCAGGTGATCACAAAAATCTAATAATTTTATAATTTCATTTAATTGTTTTATAATTTTTTTATCTTTGCATATCATTTTTTAGGTTTTTCTCATATATACATTTATTATCATGTGATTGATAATAATTCAATATTAAGCAGTAACTTAAGAATATGTTTTTTAGTCGTAAAATGTTGGTAGAGTCCACAGGATTTAGAATGAGGAAAAACTGTCTATCACCCACTAAAATTTTACCAACAAATAGCCAAGTAAGATAACTTAATTAAAACTTATTTTAAGAACTCTGAAAATATTAGTTTATCAACCACACCCATGTTATGTGGAGACTATACTCTCATATGGGGCTGAGGTAGGTGTTGATTCAAACCATGAAAAAAAATACTGGATCTGCCCCTAACATAAAGCCGTAGCTGATAAACTAAGGTCAGAAAAGTAATGGGACGGTCAGGGCTTCAAACAGAGGGAAAGTTCCTTGTGTCCCATCATAACCCTCAACTTTCACACCCAATACTTCAACATAATACCCCACCCCATACCATGGGTCAACAACCTATTTAAAACTTGTGTATTTCCTGATATTCGACATTCCCTCTCAGATCTGTGAGTGTTTCTATCAGGTTACCATAATGATGTGTATGATAATGAAAACCAGCTTTAAGATGCTGTATTAAATAAGAGATGACATTGTAAATAGGATTTATAAATGCATTCCCTAGCATTAGAAAACTTTACATTTACGTAATTTTAAAGAAAATTTAGATAAGATGCAGTGAAACAAGCTTTGCTGACTTTACTAGTTCAGATAATTATTTGCAGCTGTATATAGCTTTGAATTTCGATCCTATTGTTAAGACAATTCTGTCCCATACAATTTAATTTAATTTAATATTTATTTTTGATAATGAAAGAAATTCCATTGAGGTTAATTATCATTCTGTGTTCTATGTTAAGAACTATGTTAATGCGTAGATTTGGACAAGAATAATAACGTCATTATATTTTTACGTGAACACATTATAATTGCGTGGGAAGCCTCTCTCATAATAATGATTCTACGATTACTTTATTAGAAACATTAGACACCTGAAGAGTAATTGGTGTGGTAAGATAAGTGTGTAGCGAAATGTACTCCAAAAACAAAAAAAAAGTTGAAAATTTAATAAGTTTGATAAAATGCTGTTAAGACGGATTTTAAACATCAAATGTACTTACTGTAGTAATACTTTTATATTTAAAACATCGATAGACAGTGGACAAAGAAGATGATCAAAGGTCTATTTTTTAATTCTGTCTATCAAATTTTACTTGTGATATACATATATGGATATGGTTTGACATCATCAAGCCCATATATGGTAAAATAGTTGATAACTTCCACTGACATCTTGATAATTTCCAAGAGCTAGGCTAGATGTCGAAGGTTAAAAAAAAAATTGAACTTCGCTAATGTTAAAGTGTGTTGACCTTTGTTTTGTAATATATATTTTCATTTACAATAATTTATTGGAAAATCATGATTAAAATTTTATAATATTTGTGAAAAATAGTTTTAATTATTGCACTAGCATCCATGCTGTTTCCGTCATGGAGTGTAATGTGGGTGCTGTATCTCCTGTTAGGTTTTAGTGTCAAAACTCTACCGTACTTACGACTATCTGCACGCAAACTTTCGGAATTATGTGAAATTATGTGATAATTTCCAAGAGCTAGGCTAGATGTCGAAGGTTAAAAAAAAAATTGAACTTCGCTAATGTTAAAGTGTGTTGACCTTTGTTTTGTAATATATATTTTCATTTACAATAATTTATTGGAAAATCATGATTAAAATTTTATAATATTTGTGAAAAATAGTTTTAATTATTGCACTAGCATCCATGCTGTTTCCGTCATGGAGTGTAATGTGGGTGCTGTATCTCCTATTAGGTTTTAGTGTCAAAACTCTACCGTACTTGCGACTATCTGCACGCAAACTTTCGGAATTATGTGAAAATTCTAACCACCACTGTTTATGGGATCACCATCTCCTCACCGGTGGAGAAGTCCCTATCCTTTAACAATGCACCTTAACTCCATTATATAGGGAACATTCCATTAAGGGACCATGTTTGTGTGTGATCAGTAATATAGTGTTTCCACTGTTAGTACCGGTATGTGTAGGTAATGTGTTTTACTACTCTTGTGAAGTGCGTGGATAATACCAACATGACGTTTAGTTATGCTGAGTTGTTTAGCAACTTGTACAAAATAAAACAATGACTTTCAAAAGATAAAATACAGTTGTTTATACAGGTAATATCTGTATGTGTAAAATATGTTGAAAACACTAGTCCTTGCTAGTAGATGTGTAGTAATATGTAGTATGTACAGTTAATTATAATATTGCATTTTCTGATAAAATGAAACCCCATAATAAATGAGATAGATTTCTTATCTTTTAAGGATAGTTCTAAATTGTTGTCAGTAATAATATAACTGGTCTGTACAGTAAATATGTCTTTTTAGCATGATTTCATTTTGTCGGACTAGCATGTGCATACTGTACCATTCTTCACTCCACTGGTGCATACTGCAGGTTACTTTTCCACTTTTGTTACCAAGAATTTAATGGCAGCTTTCGTCTCTAATTAGAATGATTATTGCAAAGATATACAGATAGTTCTTCGTCCTAGGACACAGAAAAGTGTGGTAACTGAAGAGGTCTCCATTTTCCTCGTGGAACAGCATATAAGACTTGCTTCCAATTGCATAATTTTATTGATTAGACTCATAACCACTTAATTATATTTTTGGGAAATGACCTTTATTCCATTTACACAAAACAAAATCACCAAAACTCAAACTTAAAATTTAGAAGGGAAATGAATTAAACTGTAATATGCTTTTCGAATTAAATACCAAAGCTGCTAAATACCAGGTACAAAACGTGGTCTTTAATTGGAGAGACACCTGTACAAAATAACAAATGGTCTCCTGAAAAATTTGTTCTCTGGCCCTTGGAAAATTTCTTCTTACTCCTAATCTGTCATCCAATGGTTTCTATATTTTATCACCTAGTTTAGTACTATATTTATCTACCTACATTGATCTACCTTAGGATAAATGTATTAATATTGTTATTTATTACAGTATTTATTTAAAACATTTCATCGCTCATTTAAAGGAGGTCATGCATTGTTGGAAGGTTTAAATAAATGCTTGCGGTACACTACGTACAGTAGTTCTGAGAAGAACTGTTGTTTATGTTTTGGTGTCTCGGCGTTTCGTTGGGTTGCTTCAGTCGCCAAAAGGAGAATACTGTAATACCTGCAGAGAATCTAAATAGGGAAATATGTACGGTATATTATTTGGAGAGAATGAACAATGTGTAGGCCTATTTCCCTGTTTGGATTATCGGCCTATATTATTCAATTTTTAACGACTGAAGCAACTCAGTCAAGACGTCGAGACCCGCGTCGAGACGCTCTCAACAAAAACAATTCAAATTTAAGTTAAGAGTTAATAATATTAATTTATTTAATTAATAAATTAATTTATAACAATAGTCCTTTACAGCAGTCCTTTTCCTTATTACCAATCCACAAGAGTATCTATTGTAAAAACCCAGTTTAGCGAATGCCAGATTGCCGAGTCCACTTTGCCGAAACCCAGTTTGCCGAATGCCAGTTGGCCGATTCAAAAACCATGAATACCAGTTTGCCGAAAGTCAATTAAAAGCAGTGAAACATAAAAAGAGCATGAAGTGCTTAATCCTTCATTTTATTTCGAATTTTATCTGATAATCATGCAATTGTTTTCCAGTATTTTGCCTTTATATATATATATACTGTCTCTTATACACATCTAGATGTGTATAAGAGATACGGCTTCTCCCTGACCCACCCATCTACCCATCTTGTGTTCAAAAGCAACGTACTTTGTCTAAGTGTGTGTGTGCTCCTGTGAACCCATACTAACCGATGACACACCTGTGAAGACACACCTGTTTAGAGATGACATACTCGCGAACGATGACGTCGCCAGTTCTCAAAATAGCTTTAAACAGTGAGAGCTCCCTCTATATACCCCCTGGTGAAATATCTGAGCTATAGGAATTTTTCTAAGTTCATAGACACACGTTGTGTGTTGTAAAAATAAGCAGCAGTATCTTGTGACATACTCGTACTCAGTTATGCAGTGGCCTACTCAATGTTAGGGCTGTTGCTAAACATCCCTTGCTTACTCACAGATATACTCGTACTCAGTTAGGCAGTGGCTTACTCAATGTTAGGGCTGTTGCTAAACATCCCTTGCTTACTCACAGATATAGCATTACACACATTTTTAACATAAAAAAACGAAGATTAACTACGTCACCACTTGTAAGGTTTTTTTTCAATGTCATTGGTTGTAGCTCCTTCACATGTATGTATGTGTGTGTGGAGGAGATGGGGGAGGGGTTGGTGTTTTTTTTTTGTTTTTTTTTTAATTAAATTATGTTCTTTTGGTTAAATTATCCGGGATTTCAGTCCAAGAAATTTACCTGTTTTTTATGAAAATTGAGAGAAAAAAATCTATTCGTGTACATAAAACCGATATTAGTTTCCAGTTTTTCGTGGAGCGTTGAACCATGCACGCTGTTTTTTTTTTACAACATATGAAAGTAGGCCTAAGTTCTTGTTCTATTTTACAACTGAAAAGGAATAACTATAAATAAAGTGAAAGCTAAATCAATCATGTATGTTGTTTAACACAGACAGTGTATAACACAGACAGAGTATAGCCTAGTTATACACTTCGGAATATTGTGTATATTGTTAAGCTATACAATAACGTTGTTTCTTACTATTAATATTTGAAAACCTTTGAAGGCTGTTTTGATTGGAATCCTTCAAATGCATATAATACAAGCAATATATAGGCTTCAAGAGCATGTTAATAAACTATCTATTATTTATTGTTTTACTCCAAATAGAGTGATGGCGCCAGTAGGCGAGTGAAATGCGATTTCAAGGAAGACTTACAAACGCAATTCACAGAAAATAAATCCATAATTCTTAGATTTGTAGCCCCTCATTTTCTAAAAAAAAAAAAAAAAAAAAAGATGTTCGCTTATCAATATGATGTGGCGTAATATATTGTCGACCTCGGGTTACTATCTTAATGACTGCTTTAGGTCACCAAAATGGAAATAACTGTTCCATCATCTATGATTATTACTAAGTGTGTACAGCCAGTGTTGTAGATAATTGTTCAGTAACGGGGCCAGTATTTTTTGTTTGTATTCGCACTCAATTATGTTTGCATGTAAAGAGAATAATGAATAACTGAACATTTCAAACCCTCAGAAATGTTTGGAATATCTTTATACTTCAGACTCAAAACATTTAACATGAAATAAATATAGGAGAGAGTGACATTTTAAGACTGATACTCAGATAATTAGGCCTCTCTACAGAGCAATAATTCACGGTCTAACAATCCAAAGCCTCAGTTTTTTGGATACTAACGGTTGCTGAAAATTGATTTCTTCTTGGATTTATAATAGAGGCTGAGAGTCGGGGCTTGAAAGTGCGAGCGGTAGCAAAGAGTCTCAGTAATATGGGTGCAAAAGGGCGAACCCCCTTGAAGCTCTAACACCTTCGTTAATTTGAGGTTGTATCAAAGAGTACAGTATAGAACAGTTTTATTCGTTGGTTGTATACAGAGTGTTGATTGATTTTAGTATTAAATATAGTAATTGCTTGATATGTTTTACAAAGTCCAATATATATAAGGCATTTTAAGTTATTGATGAATAGTCTTCTAACATAATGTTTAACAAATGAGTGTTATTAAATTTATATTTTTTGTCCACTAACATTAAAAATTAGGGTTTTAATAACTCATTATGTAACCACCTGCACCATACGAAAGAGTCGTATTTGACAAGTTGATCACAACAAACAAAATAATGGAACCATTTGAGCCAATACAATTCGAACCTTTAGAAATCAACTTTAAAGATAAAAGGCTGAAAGATCATGCTCTAATTGAAAAACAAAATTGACTGGGCAATACTGACTGTTAAGTTTCTGATTATGAGTTTTATGATGGAATGTAAACCGCTTAATCGTGATAAAGTCAAAGCGTCGATTTGGCGATCATATAACAGTTTCAAAAAAATTGCCTGGTTGTTATTTCTCAAGCAGGTATTATGTTGATATACATCACTACATGACGAAACAAATCCAGAAACTGTTGAAAGTTCCAAGGGGGATCGGTACTGCTCCACTACCTGGGCTTCCCAGCTTGACACACCGCGTGCTTAATAAGAGTGGTCTCCGCCTACATTCACTCACGGGCAAATCGTGACGCAAACACTAATAATATTAATAAATCAACAGCTTATAACAGTTAAAAGTCCTTGAATGTTAGGACGCCATGATGGGAACAAATTACAGTACAGTACTCCAATCCCTTAGGCTATCGTATTAATATTTATAGTTGCATTCACAAGTGGAAAGGGCGTGGTTAACCTACATGCTTCGTAAAATACAGACGTGTCAATTATTGACATCCTCACCCTCCATTGGACACACGACATTGAAAAAGTTGGTGGGCGGTGGGAAATATCAATATTAAACAATCATTAAACAACCATTTGTCATTTGCCTGTATTACAATAAAACAAATTGTAAAATGTAATGTTCATAGATTTTGAAAGAGCACAGCGAATAATGTGGCGTAATGCAGTTTTATATATTTTTAAATATGTTTTGTTATTTTTTTCAGCGCATAGAGACCATGTAGTATGCTTTTTACAAGTCCCCAACGATGATTACCATTATCATTAATAACGGAAACAACTAGTAATAGGCCTACATGAGTGAACTGAAAAGATGCGTTTTAATACTGCACTTATGTAACAGATAATTGACAAGAATTGTATTATCATTCTAAATGTTAACTTAAATATTATACGCATTCACAGTTCGAATATTACATTTTAATTTTCTAGCCTATACTGTATTACTCTATCAAAGATTTTAGCTTAGTGTTAAGCCGGGACACTACGGAGAACCCAAAGCGACTTGGACCGCATTTCCGACGCCCTGAAAGCCAACATCCTTAATATTACACACTGATTCGACTGATCGGTTCCTGTAGTACTCTGATTCGGGTGTGAAAGTATGTGCTCTTTAATCTGCCATCGACAAGCAGCAGACAACGTCGCGTCGTTTCATACAGCGAAGATATGGATTCGACAGTTTGCGACCGTAACAACACGCAGTGTGTCCCCGGCTTACCTTTAATCTATTCATTATTCTCACAAATCAATCCATATTTTCTTTAATCACCTTCATAACTGAATTTATGAAATTCCATCTTCTGATAAACTGAATTGCAGTCACGTTTTTGACTTGCAACACTTTTATTTCGCTTCAAGGAAAACAATCAACTACATGATACATTACAAATCATTTCTACAAATCCATGCCATCGACCTTTCGAAATACAACATTCATATTTCAACTATGGAGTGGTTATAAGATGCAAAATGAAAATCGTGTTTAATACGATGCACTATCATTCAGCTCGAGGGCTTATATTTAATTGTCTGATCGGAATGCTCACTATCAAGTGAAGCATGAATGTATGACCAACGGTATGTATTTATTGATGTATCTGTGTGACGATCCAGCTTCTTATCCAATCAAATTGTAGATTCTATACATGTACATCGATGTATCTCATAAATATTTAAAGGTTTCTATCCTCTCTCTTAAACCTAGAGACTTAAAACACATTGTTTTTCATCATTTTACCAATTTAACTGCTTAAGGGTTACATGGCCTCTACATTTTCAATGATACAAAACCCTCATACATTCTAGATAGCTGTATTATGGCAGCAAGTAAGCAATTTTTTTTTATCATCATGAAATTTATACTTTAACGAATCCAATGCACCCTACTGTACATGTATGACATACCAATTATGCTGGTAAAATATGTTCATGGCTTTTTGTGCAAAGAAATTACAATTTACAATCCACGCTTAAACTATAGAATTCAAAGATTTTTAAAACACATTGTTTTTAATCATTTAACCAATTTAACTGCTTAAGGTTTACTGGGCCTCAACATTTTCAATGATACAAAACCCTCATAACTTCTAGATAGCTGTTTTAGGGCAACGAGTAAGCAGTGTTTTTGTGTTTAAACTAATTAAAAGATTTTTAAAACTTTTTGAGTGGTCCTTGTGTGATACATACACAAGTACTTGTACTACAACATGTATCCCCACTCGGATGATCGCTCAAAATCTCTCAGCTTGAATGTACCATAGGGGAGCTTTCGATTGCACGACGACCATAGAGCGTAGAGCGTAATTACGTCACTAAGAAGTCTGCTCATGCAAGAGCGTTACGTTCTCGTCGCGTTCCGGATTCTAATTTGGCAGAATCTACGTTGTACAGAGGGCGGTAGGACGATCACGCATGAGTGAATCCGTTCTAGCATCAAATCGTTGCGCAAGTCGAAATCTTTCTAATATTTATAATGAGAAAGGTCTCTCATCTGGCAAAATTAAATAACGAGGATTTACCAAAACAGTTCTGAGTTATCTCCTTAAATACCAATTCTAAATATTGTATCATCCATCAATCCTGTCACCTACTGCACAGATACTCTCGTTGAAGCTCTAAAGCTTTGTAGTAGGCGACCAAATCGGTCCCTTCGACACATATTGCCGTCCTTGCGGTCATTACCATCCGTAGTTGATCCTGGCTAAAATCCACTTCCCCGATGACTTGATAAAGACAATTCGTATTCGCTTTGAATGGCTCTAGTAAATGAGTATTTATCATTATATTATACACCATTTTATTTGGCCTAATTTGAAACAGCGCCGCCAACGTCAGGAATACGATCTTTTATGCTTGGGGTACAACGATCGCGACCTCGCTATATTTATCCTATTGATTGTTTACATCGTAGTTAATACTTACAGCTCCAAAATCTTATTATACAGTATATT